TCTGTGTTTTATCGGCATTCTGCTCCTAATCTGTGTATTTATCTAGTGGTTTATGTTGATGATGTTGTTATTACTAGCAATGATCAGGATGGTATTACTAATCTGAAGCAACATCTCTTTCAGCACTTCCAGACTAAGGATCTAGGTAGATTGAAATATTTTCTAGGTATTGAGGTCGCTCAGTCTAGCTCAGGTATTGTTATTTCACAGCGGAAGTATGCCTTAGACATTCTTGAGGAGACTGGAATGATGGGTTGCAGACCTATTGACTCTCCTATGAATCTGAATGCTAAGCTTCTGCCTGGACAGGGGAGCCTCTTAGAGACCCTACGAGATATAGGAGGTTAGTTGACAAATTGAATTACCTCACAGTGACTAGACCTGACATTTCTTTTCCAGTGAGTGTTGTAAGTCAATTTATGGATTCTCCCTGTGATAGTCACTGGGATACAGTTGTTCGCATTCTTCGGTATATAAAGTCAGCTCCAGGCAAAGGATTACTATTCGAGGATCAAGGCTACGAGCAGATTGTTGGGTACACAGATGCTGATTGGGCAGGATCACCTTTTGATAGACGTTTTACGTCTGGATATTGTGTTCTAGTGGGAGGTAACTTGGTCTCGTGGAAGAGCAAGAAACAGAATGTAGTTGCTCGATCTAGCGCCCCATGGCTATGGCGACGTGTGAGTTAGTTTGGGTCAAGCAGTTGCTCAAGGAGTTAAAGTTCGGAGAAATCAGTAAGATGGAACTAGTGTGTGATAACTAAGTTGCTCTTCATATTGCGTCAAATCCGGTGTTTCATGAGAGGACTAAACACATTGAGATCGACTGTCACTTTGTCAGAGAAAAAATACTTTCAGGAGATATTGTTACCAAGTTTGTAAAGTCGAATGATCAACTAGCAGATATCCTCACTAAGTCTCTTACTGGTTCTCGTATTAGCTACATGTGTAACAAGCTCGGTACATATGATGTGTATGCACCGGCTTGAGGAGGAGTGTTAGTTTACAAATATGTATAGTGTAGTCTTGTCCCACATTGGAAGAGGAGTAATATCTCTTTGTAGTGTATAGCTATAAATAGGGACCTCTTGTATTGTATTTATTATCCAATATCAATAATATATTTTCTCCCGTGCCTTCTCACAACATGCACATTGAAGACTTCACCCCAAAGCTCTCTAGGCAGATTTCAGTGTCTGTGAAAATGCGACCCCAGTTATTCCTACAAAATCAAATAGTCTGTTAAAATATTGTGACAGTGTACCTGGATTGAAATCTGTATTTTTTATTTACTCTTTGTCTCATGGATTTTTAGGTTATGTTGTCGATTGAATTGTTCGTATCTATGCAGTCCTAAAAGTTATATAACTTCATTAATCTGCAGAAGCTGCCAGATTTCAGAGTTCTATTAAACATATCTATCTTATCATGTTAACTTTGTTCTTATCTTGTTCGATTATATTAACATCAATCCTGTATTTCCAGTTGACTAACATAATTTCTGAGATTGGTCTGAACATTGAAGAGGCCCATGTTTTTTCAACTACTGATGGTTTCTCCTTGGACGTCTTTGTGGTTGATGGATGGCCATATGAGGTACAGTATTAATGTTTATTTCAAGATATAACGAAATGCTTGCTGACAATTAAAAGTCTTCTCTTAGTTCTACAATTGTAGTCTAGTTATATGATCGACATACTCTTTATTCGCACCCACATAAGTTAAAAGATGAAAGTTTTGCCTTTGCAAGTCTCGTTTAATTCCTCTTTTCTTGTTAATATGTGTATGTTTTGAAACTGTGTTCCTTATTCATCTACTAGATTACTTGTCAGTTTTATGCTTGTTCCGCCCTTTCCCAATTTATATGGCTCTCCTTCAATTTTGGACATCCTGATATTTTTGGCACCACTTCATTCATGTCTGACTTTCAAGAATTCAGACTCATTTAAACTAGTGATGTGATTTTTTTTTTCTATCAGACATTTAAACCAACATTTCAACAATCACTTTTGTATTTTCTTATATGTTAATTTAATATCTTAAGCTCTGTCCCCAGAACAATGTCGTCATATAAAATGAGACAGAAAGAATGCACGACTTTATATCTGATAACTTTTTCATTCAAGTCTCATATTATTCAACTAGATATGGTTTCACTTAAAAGGACACTTATGAGATGTTACTTGGTAAATTTAGGATATAGTGTATTTTAAATATGAAAGTTAGCAAATTAACCCCTCTGTCTTCTTATATTCACTAGATTCATGAAGAGTGGTAATTTACTTGTATACTTACTTATTTGGTTTGAATTTCTAGGAGACAGAGTTGCTTAAGAGTGAGGTGCAAAAGGAAATTATGAGGAGCAAGGTAGATATTCTTCTGACTGCTAAATGAGGACAGAGTGGCACTCAAAATTTTCTTCTGTTAATACTTAATATGCATTATGGCTGTGTTCTTTTGGGAAAAGTAAGATGCTGATTTTGCTGTTTTTCTTCATAAGGTGCTATGCAACTTATGGAGAAACAGCTGAAATATTTGGTTTCCATTGTGTGTCATCACATTAAGCTGAATTTGTTGCACTCACCTAAAATTGGTTTATGTCCTCTTAAGTAATGGGATCAGAAAATGACTTTGTCGAACATGAAGTCTTGCCTTTGTTTTTCTTTCGGTGACAAATTTTTGAAAACTTCATGTTTTCAGAAAATATCTCAATTCCGGCCATCTTTCGGTTAAAAATTTTCTTCAACCGTTTTCTCCTCTTCCGCCCGCCACCACGATCACCTCCTCCTCCTTATTCGTAGATCCAGCTTCCACCAGCACCTCCTCCTATTCTTCTTCATAGATCCAGCCACTATCACAATCACCATCTCCGCTTCCTCAGATCCAGCCACGATCACCACCACCTCCTTTGTCTTTTCAGATCCAGCCACCGCCACCTTCTCCCCTCCTTTGTCTCAAATCCAACCACCACCACCTATTCCCTCTCTTTCTTTTAAAGGCTAGCCACCACCACTCTTCTCCTCGTTCTTCTCAAATCCGATGAGACAACCATCACTGATCTAACCACCAAAGATTTGGCCACCACCATAAATCCAGCCACTGTCATAGATCCGCCCACCACTGGAGTTAGACATTCAAACTAGCCAGTGAGCAGATAGACACTTCTACTTCATGGAGGTGTCTCTTGAACTCCTCACTGACATGGCAAACCATGTGTTTGCGCTTACACTTGAGCATGTGAATAACTGAATTTAGGCTTTTCTTTTTATTTTCCTCAGTTTCACTTTCCTCCTCCTTCAATATTCTCTATGTGGGCCCCACACTTCTATCCTTAGTTTCTTTTATCTAAACTCAGTCGTAAACCACCACAATAAATTGGCAGACCACTGCAGCGATGGAAAACCACCATCACTCGCTCAGCTTTTGGTGTATATTCAAACCGTTTGCCATTCTAAATAGAGACAGGCGAAACACTTTGCTTACCACCAATAAATAAGGTTTCTCTTTTCATTTCAATCTAAATTCATGCTATTTCCTTTTCTACCGCCGTAGTTGTCTTCTTGTTTCTTCTTCCGACAGAATCTATATCAAGGCTTAAGGTAGTTTAGGGCTTTTCTTGGAACGCGTTGAATCGAACTTGGGTCTTTTCTAAATGAACCTCCAGTAAGCCAAAATTTCCCAGGTCAAAAAAAGAATGGATTAATTTGATTACTACCCAATAATAACTAAAAAAGTTGAATTTATGATGAGGAAATAGAGATTAACCGTTGAGGTTAGGGGAATGGTTTGGAAATTGGAAGTATTACGAAAGGAGTTGAAGAGGTGAAATTATGGCCTAGTAGAACGCCATTGAAAGTAATTTGGGGGG